TGACGCGGTCCCGCGCGATGGCAGTTTGAATTCAAACGGCCTTTGCGCGGAAATCCGCGCTGAACCTCTCAAACAACCGCCAACCGACGACGGACGACACCGGCGCGCGACATTCGCGCCAGGAACCGTCGGCCGGCCGATAGGCGAACCGGATCGGTTGTGTTACTTTTTCACGTCTCGCGTTGCCGATACGACGTCCGGAAAACGATCCGTCTTTTTTTTTTGTTTTGTTTTATTTTCTTTAATATTGTAAAACGCCACGTGTCTGAACGCGACGTTAATTCTTTGTTTTGTCAACGTTTCTGCACGACAGACTTAAACCGTGATTATTCACCACGTCTAATTCGTTAACCGCAATAAAACCACATCTTTCGCACGTCCGTGCGACCCTCACCAGTCAGTGTTGAAATTTTGTTCGACTTCCTCCGCTTCTCTTTTCCTCTTTTGTTTCTTTCGTTTTCTTCGCCACGTACCCGCACTCAAGTGTCTACTACCCCCAGGACCATCGTCCCACACCAGCGAGGTACGTGTCAACATAGCATTGTATTTGTTTTCAGTTTCTTAAACACAAGATACGTCAGCCCGCCAGAAGGCATCTGGCGGCTGTTTTCGTATGAATTGCACAAGAGAAGTCACACGATCGTCAGACTTCCTGTCCACCTAGAAGGTCGACAAAACGTCTACTTTGCTCCGGGACAAGCGCAAGAGCGGTTGCAAAACGAAGCTCTACATCGTACGAGGCTAACTGAGTTCTTCGCGCTCAATATAAACGACGTGGAAGCTCGACAATACCTGTACACCGATATACCGACGCATTACACGTGGAACGCGGCTCAGCGGACGTGGGCGCGGCGCCGGAGAATGATGGCAAACGAGACGTTGGATCGGGACCGTTTCCACTTGCGACTGCTACTACTGAACCGAAGAGGTCCGCAGTCCTTTCAAGACATAAGGACGGTGGACGGGGTCGTTCACGGAACGTACACCGCGGCGGCCGTCGCACTCGGGTTATTGGAAGACGACCGAGCGTGGCGGGCCTGTCTGACGGAATTGGCGGTGTTGGACACACCGCGGCAACTGCGATATCTGTTCGTCACGATACTTGTGTTCTGCGAGCCGTCAAACCCGCTGGCGTTGTACGAGGCGAACGAAGCAAACCTGATGGAGGATTTCAATAGGCGCCTCCAAGACGTCGACCGCGCGAGGGCCGCGTGTCGTCGACCGCGCGAGGGCCGCGTGTCTGAACGCCATCGGGGATCTACTTCGTGCGCACGGAAAGTCGCTGGGCGACTACGGTTTGCCCCTGCCCGACCCCCTAATGCTGGAACCGGAACAGGACGACAGACTGTTCCAAGCGATAGACGCGGCGGCACGGTGGGCACAACAGTTGGACGACATGAACGCCGAACAGCGAACGGTGTTCGACCGCGTAATGGCGGCCGTCGACGACGGCCTAGAAGCAGCGAAG